ATTTTCCTTAGCCCCTTCAACCATATCCTGGGATAGTACCACGATTATGTCACTACTGTTTCCTTCCAGATTCTTCCCAATTTATTATTCATCAGTTATCCTACCATTTGATGCTAAAGAGTCTAGTGATACTGACAGTAATCCATTACTGTTGTGTTTCTTGGCAGCCACTTAAATCCTAAATTGATCACTGTGCAGTGCCACAGCAGTAAATAATAAGACACTGGTCAACTGGAATATATACCCTTACATAAATATTTCAGCACAGTTTATTTTTAGAAAATCTAGTTGAAGAATATAGTCTTTCAGTAGTTACTGATATAAGAACACCTGTATTACTGCTGACCTGTGACCATAGTTCTGTAATGCAGGATGAGTCACTCAGAGCACATCTACCAAGATATCTACTCATGGAAGTTTTGTTTTAATTGGTGAATTATTGCATGATTTATAATAATTAATTTAAGGCCTCCTGCAAGTGAATCACACTGTACATGCTATATATTTACTGCAGCACATAGTCTTTTATCAGTGAAATGTTTTACAGGCATCCTGATGATGAAGGGTGTGGGGTAGTTGGTATGTCAGTCCAGGATTTTGAGAGCCGCAGGAAGCTACGCTCTCACAGCAATTCCAAGGCAGGTCTTCACTCTCCAAGTTCCACCTCAACCAAAAGCTTTGACCTCCAGATGGCAAACTGGAGAATGGAAAGCATTGTTCGAGATTCAGACTCTGGTAGTGATGATGAGTTCTTTGATTGTCAAGGTATGTATACTTAACAATATTCACAACAGTTTTGCTGCTTGTTCATTTTCTGTGGTGATATGAGTAATTTGTATACTTGCAATATTAGTTTTTGAACAGTTTAAGAAATTTGTAATGGAATATTAATAGGAGATGAAACTGTTCAGTAGAATATCTGGCTTTCAGTACAGGATATTCCAGTATGTGTGGAATATTAATGTGTTTGTAAAATAGAAGTAACTTAAATTTATGAGCTTTCCAGAATTGTCCTCTAAGATGACAAATTTGACACCAAATAACTGTTGGGCCAGATACAAAATCCTAGTTGAGGCCCAAGATTGTGATAATCAGTTGGATGGTCAAACCTGTTGCACACATCAGAGGTTGTAACAAAGTGGTCTGCAGCGTTATTAAAATTATGATTGACATGACAAATAATGTATTTGGAGAAAACTCAAGCCAAACATTATTTTGTATACCACAAACCTCAAATGGCTGTCCTGGGATTAAAACCATGTCTTCACAGTGAGAATCTGACATCTGACCACCATACCGTTGTCGTGGACACAGTCTGTAATGCATCTCATTCTAAAGAGTTGAATGCTAATGCATGGAAGTACAACAGTAACATATGGTACTGAATACTGATTATGGGAATGGCAGTGCTGCTGTGTAAAATCATGCATTTTGGTGCTTTGTTTCATGTGACATGAGGTGTGTATGCACATGCTTACATTGACATTTCTTTGTAATTTATATTCAGCTTAGCAGCAATAACAAGACTATTGAAGAGTTTCTCCTATAAGTTGGGAAAGAAGTAAATGCACATGAAAGTAAATGTATGAACATTACCCATGTTAAGTGGGCTCCATGTCACAATAGCATGGTGCATCCTTGGGTTGTGGTTACAGGAGAATGCATGGAGGATGTTTATGAAAGTAGTAAATAAGCAGTAATGCACAGCACATAAATAGCTGCCCTCCTGCTTGGAAGTTAGACAGGAGGTATTAAGTCTTCACTGCAAAAATACTGCTGTTACAAGATTTTGCACAGGATCTTGGGCTTGAGTAGATTCTTTTGAATGACCTGAGCAGCAGAAAATGGATGTGAGGTTTAGAACTTGAAGTGTAAGGAATCTGTAAATAGGTTAATTGAAAACAGTACCAAGGAAACTGTCAAGTTGTAGGTAAGATTTAGTGGAAGTGCAGGAAATCAGTTGGGAGAAGGGCGACAGTGAACGAGAACACAGTTATTCATTTTTCTGTAGAAATGAGAATATCAATCATCACTTAGGAACATACTGTTTACTACCTAAGGGAATCACATCTTCATCTTAGAAGGAAGAGTTTGTTAGTAAAAGGATATTATATACCCACATAATGCTGAGATCTAGTTGGTGTGATATTATTGTCTTGAATGCATATGCCCAGACTGAGGACGAGAATGATTTCTCAAAGGACAGTTTTATGAGGAATTAGATCATGTATTTTCTAGATTGCCAAAGAACCATATGAGAATGTTAGGATATTTTGGAGAAAAAGTAGAAAGAGAAGATATTTAATCTTCTAGAAATGCATCCTGTTACATTATCCTATAGAACTCTTCCTTTGGTTTCTGTCTCAACACAACTACTATCAAAATATCATCCACATCTCACTCTGTATAATGAGTTTATTGGTCGTAATAGTATGACAGGGCCAGAACATGTAGCGCATTGTCGTACTATTAAGACCAATGCACTGAAACATGTAGTTCATTTCATACTATTATGACCAGTAAATTCATATACCCAGTGAGGTGTGAATGACGTTCCAATAGTTGTTGTGTTGAGATGGAAACGAAATGAAGAAGGTATAGAAGATATTTACAGACCAGCAGTCACGAACTGTATTTACTCGCTTCATTTACACCATCACACAATTTACATCTTTTCATAATTTACTTATAAAGAGAAAGTTTTGGAAAAAAAGTGTCATGTGTAAAAAAGTCTGTGGCTGTGAACTGATCTGCTCTTCTATTATCTGGGCTACGATCCCCATGTGAATGTGTCCTCCCTACCCTTGCCTTTGTACTACCCACATCCCTTTCACCTGACCTGCCTGTGCTTCTCATGAGTACTGCATAGAAGGACCTGCAGTCAGGAAGTTGACTTGGAAATTCTGTCTAACTTCTGTTCCCAACCAGACAGTTGGTTCCCATGTCACTTAACAGGGTGAGTTATCTTGGGTTCCCTCAACCTGGGGTTTTACCTCGAAATGGGAAGGAATGCGCAGGCCTTTTTAAATTCATTAAATCTTTTGTATATTGATTGTTTTCTGCCTTTTAGTTATTATTGATTTTGATACTTGATTTAATAGATATATGCCCTGCTGTGAGATGAGTTATATTTATATACTTTATTTGTTAAAATTATACAGAAAAAATGAGAGTCTTCCACTTCTGTTTTCTGTCTCACCATATTTTCTAATGCCCCCCTCCCCCCTATTTGATCCACAGGTAACAGAATTATCATCAAAGATGGCATAAGCTGCTAAGGAAAGGGGCATGGGCAGTACGAAACTTAAATCTAATAATTTTACTTGCGAGTTTAGCTATTTTGAGCTTTTGGCTAATTATAAATGAATATTAATAATCAAGCATTTAATTTGCAACTTAGTGTACTGCCAATCCTCAGATTTATATCTTGTCAATTCAGTCATATGTGCCAAGTCTTCAGAAATAACTCTCATACCCTAAGATTTATGCTTCCTAAACTCTCACAGTACTGGCACAGGGATCTACCAGTGCCTGTATGCAGAAAACCCAACATGGTCAGTCAGGGTTGAAAGGAAAGAAGGGGAGGCACACTGAAAGAAGTCACAGTCATTGGCATCCATATGATTTTGCTGTTAGCACATGTGCTGTAGATGATATCAGTATAAGAGACTATCAAAATATGGTCAAGTACCGGGTTATCAGTCACCTTTCATATCTCATGTTCATTGGTAACTTGAGTGCAAAACGCAGACCATCAACTCTTACAATTTGCCTTAACACTGCACAAAAAGAGCATTGTTTTGATTAATAAGTTATGAACAAAATAAAAAAAAACGAAGTCAGGCATAAAATCATAATATAATAACCTGTATATATATATATTGTCACATGTTGGGTGTATAACGCGACAAATAACTTCACACTGTATTGGATATAGTGAATTTATTCCACCCGCCCTTACAATCACACAATTTACAATCTGACAATTACTGCCATTGGCAGTACCACAAATACTCCGACGAAAGATAGACAGCTATTGACTGGTCAACTGACTCACTGCTGGCTAAATCGTAACTCGTAACTGCTGCCTTGAGAACTGTCTTCGGCCTCTGTTACACTTTAAGTCTCGCTTGCCGCTCAGCCGGCTTTTATTCCGGTTGCTGTTGCCTGTTGCCCATGTCAACAGCGGCGTTGCGTGCCTCGTCACAGTAGGAAGCGGTGCCGCGTCATAGTGCGGGGGGGGGGCAGAGCACTGACTCACCTGCTACGTCTCCGTGGCCAGAGCTGCCACATCACTGCTGGGGAGGGAGGGGGTGTCCTCCATTGCGCAACACATCACACTATATACAATTAATAATTTTAAAATGTTTAAATATTGGGTATTTTGGGAACAACACAATAAATAGAAATGAGGTTCATAATTAAATTACATTATTGAACTGTGGAGATGTTTGTCATGTTTCAGTTGAGACAGGTTCCATCATTCTTTTTTATTTTAAGTTTACGATATTCTGCTGAACATCCCACATGTGGATGTTTTGGTTAATGATCCATTTGAATGTATTTCTGTGCAGAAATGTTATGTTAGAATGTCTCTCCATTTGATTTGTCTTTGCAATAGATGTGATTATTGATGTATGTTGATTTGCTTTGCAGATATTTTCCAGTTAATCGAGTAATACATAGTTAAACTAATGAATTGTGGTTGATGCAGTATATTTGAATAACTGTTTTGTATATTGTCAGGTGCATCATATTTTGTTTCACAAATTTCTATATATTATTGTAAAAGAACAAAAAACATATGCACATAGTCAGAATCATAAAATGAAATTTATGGGAAATTCAATGCAGACATGTATGTGATGCAATCCAAAAGTTCCCAAAATTTTGAATTTTGCACGCGAATGGTTAAGAGTACATCGAAATACCACTGTCTTCTCACACGCCCTTCTTGAATCAGCGTGGCAAGCAGCGTCTAGTAGAGTTGTTGGGTTTATTGTTGGTGAACGTATTTCCATTGTTGTGTTTCTGTGAGTTTGCAGTTTTGCGATTGCTAACCTGAGAGAGCAGAGTGTCCGTATAAAGTTTCTTTTTAAACTTGGGAAAACCTCTGCAGAAACACCCCAAATGTTGAAGCAAGCTTTTGGTGACAACAGTTTAGGCCAGACACAAACTTACAACTGGTATAAGCATTTCAAAAATTGCCCAACATCGACTGATGATGATGATTGTGTGGGACAACCATCAACTGGCACCACCCCAGAAAATGTCGTGAAAGTTAGGGATCTGATTCTGCAAAATCATAGACTGACCATCCAAGACCTCTGTAACGCCTTGAGACTAAGTTATGGTACATGTCAACAAATTTTGTCAGAGGAACTGAACATGAGGAGGATTGCATTGAAGTGTGTGCCACAACTGCTGCAAGATGAACAGAAGCAGCATCACTTGGAAGTCTGCAGGGAACTTCAACAACAGCTTCAAGATGATCCAGACTTTCTTTTGAAGTTCGTCCCTCCTGGTCAGAGAGTCAATAAAGAGATCTGTCGCGATGTTCTAAGGTGTTTGAGGGAGGACATGAGGAGAAAACGTCCAGAGAAGTGACGTGAAGTGAATGGGTACTCCGCCATGACAACGCACAACCACATACAGCTTACATTGTGCAGGGATTTTTGGCTAAAAACAAGATGGCAGCTGTTCCCCACCCACCGTACTCACCAGACTTAGCTCCATGCGACTTCTTTCTCTTCCCCAAGATGAAAATCAAGTTGAAGGGGCGAAGATTTGATACATTCGAAGAAATTCAAATGGAAACGCAGACAGTACTAAACATCCTAACAAAGAAAGACTCCAGGATGCATTTCAAAAGTGGCAGAAATGCTGGGATCGGTGTATGCGCTCCCAAGGGGACTACTTTGAAGGTGATGGTGCAGAATAAGATCCAGGTAAGATGTAATAGTTTTTATTAATATGTTTTGGGAACTTTTGGATTGCACCACGTAAATAATCAATGCATCATATTGTATTAAATTTTAAATTCCATTTCATAATTCTGATGTGGACAAGTTAGAAAGTAGAGTGCATTTTTTATAGGACAGTGTTTAAAGAACTGAAAGAAACATTTGTCTGTGTTGGTCAATTAATGAGGCAGTCATTAAGCAAGATGTTGGACCTCTCTCTTGTAGTAGGCATTTGTATAATTACAAGAACAAAATGATACGAAGTGACAAATAAAAGTATGTGAGAACTGGATTTGTGAAACATGCATATTTCCACTGTGTTTGTTTAAATGACATAAGTTGTAAATTACCATATTTCTGGAATGCTATTGAATGTGTCTGATGCCATGAGATTAGTCATGCAGAAACAGGCCCAGTTCTGTGTTCCTTCACTGTATTGTGAATCTGGCTTGTTTCTGTGCCTTGATAACCCTCCCACCACAATTTCATCAGAAAATGTGGGCAAGTAGTAACTTTAAACACTGCTTCTACTGACATAATGCCTAGTTGCTGTGGTAACAAGGTCACACTTTCTTCTTGTAGTGCATGATATATGTGTATGTTCCTTTCAGTAGCTGATTCTTGTTTTTCTTCTTTTCTCTTTATTTATATTCTTTTGTGGTCTTCACTCTTCACTCTGTGCCTTCCTTCTGTTCTGTGCGTGACAGCGGGGTTCATAATCCCTGTCATCAAGGGTAGGTATCAGTTATGTGAGCTGTCATAAGCTTTTATAGTGAGGGTGTTAACTGTAAAAGGAACAGCAAATGTGTTCATGTTGTTGGCAACTCTGTGCCTCCATTCTGTTCTGTGCATGTCAGCAGTGTTCATAATCCCTGTCATAAAGGGTAGGTATCAGTTATGTGAGCTGTCATATGCTATTATAGTGAGGTTGGTTTAACTGTAAAAGGAACAGAAAATGTGTACATGTTATTGGCAATAATTTGAAATAATTAATTATACTTTCTGTAAAAATTTGAGGAATATGGGTATGTTATAACTTGTCTTAATAGATGAAGAAGGTAAAGATTGCCAACAATGGACAGCTTAAAATATTTTCTATTTTTATTTTAGGTTTTCCCTGCTTGAGAAATATGAATATACATCACTTAAAATTACATTTCATTTTGGCATTTTGGAAAAACCCTAAAGAGGTGGCATGAAAATAGTAGGTCACATGGCCTAATACCTGGTAGGATGATAGTCATAATATTATTTTCATGACATATATCTTCTATTCTTTGGAGTTTAAAGTAGTGCTGTCCCCCCTTTTTTGTGGTAAGAAAAGTAACATTTGCTGTTCCCTTTTCTTCCAAAACCTCCAAAACAGTTCATAAATTTAGTTCTACACCTCCATGAGTAATTTTTATGAGTTATATGGATACATCTTTCTAATGGCAGATTTAATATCAGCCTAAAATATTTTTTGTGTGTAATTCAAAATCTGTTCCAAGTAGCCCTGTATCATTTGCAAATAACAGAAGAGATTCAATTTGAATGCATAGTCTCTGCAGCACTAAAAGCTGGAGATGGTCTGGTAAAGCACTGTGCTGCAGGTATTCCACATACATCCCGATGAAGGAAAGAAACAGTAAAAGTAAAGTAAAAAAATAAAACTGACCCTTTAACAGGCTGTGCAGGCCCATAGGATTGTGAGACGTTGAGGGTCCCGCATTGTCTAGACAATCGGCTGACAGATGGCGGTAAGGTTGTGAGCCTTATGTGCTGACCGCGCTTTACTCCCCAGGAAAATTATTTAATTAATTCCTGGTACTCATTTCTGTTAGAGGCTGAGTCGACCCCAGGGCCATGGAAAGAAACAGTGCTATATAAAATTCATGTTATGTAACAGAGGTCCTTTACTGTAATGGTAAACATTGAAACTTGTTCTAACACAAACCAAGAGGCGTGCCCATTTAAGAATGACTCCATGGAGCTGAGCCCTTCTTGAAAGCCACCAGTTGTGCTACTATTCAAGAATTTCTTAACATTTTATGGAACCTAAAAGTTCATTACCATGTTTACAAGAGCCCTCCACCAGTCTTTATCCTGAGCCAGGTCAATCCAGTCCATACCACCCCATCCTATCTCCTTTACATTTTGCATTATGTATAAAATCTTCATGCTTGTGTCACACTGCAAGTATCAGTCTGCAGCATTTGAGATACAAAAATGAAGGAGGAGCCAGTAATATTATTGTCTGGTATAGACTGTATTTGGAATGTGTTAAAATTCTGTCAGGTAGTTCTGTAGGGTCTTCTAAGTTTTAATTGACCACTGTGTAAAAGCCCTCTTCCCTCTTCCTGTAAAGGAAGCTTAATCCTTTTGGGAACAACATATGGTCAGTAGTGCTGACCCATTTTTTTGTCAAAAAATATTAGGAAGTCCTGCAGTGAATTTTTTCTTGGTAGTAATGAGGTCAATCAAAAATAAATTCCTTTCAGAGCATTGTATATTGCTTAAGCAAAATGCACTTGCAAAACATGTGTTTACAGTCACTATAGGTAACAGTATAACCTGACAGCACATCCTTTAGTTGTTTACTTCTAGTAAATGTTGGAAGTATGTGACATCACATAGTGTTGTATTGATGTCTGAAGATCTGAACTATCTGTTCACACAGAGGATGTTGGAGACACAACTTCTTTGGCAAAATGGAGTTCTTTGGATCTTTTGACTGAAGAAGACCTGGATGCCACATCCCCTTGTGTTGTTGTAGATAAACAAGGTCAGTTCTTGTAAATATGGTGATGTTATAACCAAAGTGCTAATGGTGTAATGTCTTATTGAAGCATGGAGACAACTTTACATTATCTGCCATACTGAACACAAATGTCATAGAAACGTATTCAGTAACTGTAACAGTAGGGCTGAAAATTCTGCTCTTTATTACTGTGTCCAGAATGAGTCTGATGGCATACTGTTCCTTTCTCTTTGGGGAACAGCTGGATTAGCTGGAAGGGGGGGGCATTGGTGCCAAGTTATGAGAGTGCATGGAGTTCTACCTTCATTCCCACTATATATATACCTTGTGTGATAATGGTTAGATAAAGAGGTAGCTAGCTTTACCATAAGAAAGATAACACCAAGCCATTCTATACATATTAAATGCTGGCTTTAAAATTATAGCATATAGTTCTTTCAAAAATGTGGTATTTAACTTGTAATGTGTATTTTTTCTTCTGCTGAGTTTGTTTGATGTATTGCAGCTGACAGCATCTTCTCGCAGACATTCTTACAGCGAGTCATAAGTGAAAGAAGTCGAATGATAGGTGGAGGAAACAGTGTGGATGTGTCATGTCCTGGCTCCCCAGTCATGACTCCTTTTCATCGCACAACATGCAGCACCACAGTGCTCATACTTGTGCTCCATGCTGGTAGTGTCTTGGGTGAGGGACTGATGTAATTAGAAAATTATGAAATATGGTTTTATGACTTAATGTTATATTGTTATGAATGAACATATCAATATAAGTAAAGTTTCATATTCATATCGAAATATATGAATTGAAGCCACAGGGCATAGTTAAATAAGACTATTCTCACCATTGTCCCTTATTGCTATAAGAATAAAGTGTTATTTAATATTTCTAACTATGGCTTTGACACAAAATAAATTTCTTCTTTGTGTCACTGTTGCAGATGCAAATGTAGACTTGACTGCAAAGAAGTCTGACATTACAACATTTCGTGGAGCCTTTGAATCTGTAATGCGGCAGCATTATCCTTCCATGGTTGGCCATATTGCCATCAGATTGGTCTCATGCCCATCAATTTGCACAGAGGGTCTAGGGATTCTATCTAGGTAAGAAAGATGACTGTATCAGAATTCAGTCTTACATAGTACTAATTCCATGGAGCAGCAGTCTTCTTAAGAAACAGATATTCTCTCACTTCTTCAAGCAATTCCCCACATATTATAAAACCTGAAGGTTCATTCCCATGTTAAGAACCCTGCCCTGGGCCAAGTGAATTATTAATTCTGTCTTTGACGAAATCTGTCAAGCATTTTCTTTCCTTAAGATTTTCTTACTAATACTTTGCTTACATTTCTTATCTCCCTCATGTGTGTTGTTATATTCTGTCCTGTGCTGCTTCATTTGATCATGCTAGTAATATTTAGAAAGAAGTGGACTGGATTTGTCTGTCTCAGCTCTTGTTAACACAGTAATGAACCTTCAGATTCTCTAAAAGGTAGGGAATTTTTATTAGTAGCTGAGTGACTATCATCTCAATAAGGGCTCTGCTTCAAGGAATCAGTGATATGTAAGATCAAATTACCATTAGGTGTACAATAGTAATCAAAATTTGATGGACAGAATTCTCCAATGTTTTCTGGTCCCTATCAGGTCATGATATGGCCTGGGTAGGGAGTGTGATATGAGAGAAATGGTGTTTCGTGTGTTTCAGCCTCAGCCCCTACAGCTTTGATGTGTCTCCATCATGTACAGATACCCCCCATGTGACACATGACTCCATCCCAATTGGGGCCATCCCTATATTTGCCAGCTCAACACCTGAGTATCAGGACGCTGTCTCCAGGATAATCAGTGGAGCTAACACAGTCTACCATGAATTCATCAAATCAGAGGAAGGACAGGGATTCAATGGACAAGTCTGTTTTGTNTATCAAGCAATTGTCAAAAAGGCTTATAATATATGACAATGTTTGTTTACATCATAACACAATTACTCTCTAGCACAATACACTCAAAATTATTATTTAAAATAAAAATATAAGATAAAAGTTTCCATCAAAAGTAACAGAATATTTTGGTCACTGTAGATATTAATACCACTAATCCTACTATACGTGTGTTTGTAGCATATCAGATTATACTGGATAATTATTGTTGCCATCATACCAAAATATTACACAAAGTGATTAGGATGCTGTTTTCTGATTTCCTAAAAGGATACCTAAATGCAAGTTCATACATTTCAGTGATGTTTCACCATGCAAAATTTCTTGACATTGTGTTGAATGAATGTAGCGTTGCTCACACCATGCAAGTTTGTATGTTAATATCATTGGAAGTTTGTATGATGTCCATACCAAACTTTACAAAAAATTTGTCAATTAGTGTCTGTCATTGAACTGAATAGAGCCAATAATGTTCATTTGGATGCATAAACTTTAATCTCTCTTTTGAATATTCTGTGAGTTCTTTACATAAAAAAAAAATTGATGCATAACAAGAAGTTCATGTCAGTCTGTCCTACCTCTCATGTAATATTAATTTTACCTCTTTAACATGGAACAAATTTCTTCATTCCAGGTGATGGTGTAGGTTCCATCTTAGGTTATGATGCTCTTTGTCGGTCCGTTCAGTACCAGTCTCGCCATGACAGTGAGAACAGCATTCTTGATACAGATGGTCTGCCTCCAGATGAGAAGGACATTGTGAAATCCATCCATAAGATCCAGTTGACAGATGGAAGTCAAGGAGCTGAGGGTGTACAGTTCAACACTGAGGGACTGTATCCCAACAAACATCTTGCAGCACCACCACCCCGGAGAAGATCTTCTTCAACAAGGTGAGTTTCCCTTTATGTTCTGTAACATATCACCACCACCACTGCCACCACCAGTGGCCAAGGTATTCCTGAGAAGATTCTACCAGACTCATCTGGTTTTCAATTCTTTGGATTTCTGGATTTCACAGCAATAATTTTTTCAAAGCAAAATCATCAGATTTGTATCCAACGCCCAACCCAGAGGATCAGGGCTCTATATCTATGTCCCCGAGTGACAGGGTGCCCCAGTTATACCCCCATATATTGACTATAAAATATGTGTACTGGTGAAAATTGTAGAAATGTTTTGGACTTAAGAGCACTGCATTCTTTTCTTTCCTTGCAAAAGTGACAATTTTTGCAAAATTCTGTTAAAAACAGCTTTATGCATTAGTTTAACTCTTCCTGTTTTTTATACTATATACTGGGAACTTGAGATTTTTTGCTACATGTTGCTTCTTATATATGTTCTTCGAATGTCCTCATGCCCCTTCATGTTGTGTACAGTATTTTCCATGATCTTCACCTGTTTACATTGCTCTTATTCATTTCTTGTAAGAGATTCTACATAGCAATAGGTGGCTTTTTGTTCTACTTGACCTGCGTTAACACATTGCGGACCAGTTGTTTAAATATTTAAATCACCCTGGGGACCGGGGTTTTTAAGCCTAGCACCCTAACTTGTGCACTGTTCACTTTAAAAATTAATATAAAGTCTCCTAATTAATTTTATGAACTAAAATTTTTGGATAACACTTACCAGAGCTCCTAGAAGTGCTTGCGCATGTGATATCTGTGGAAACATTCCCCTTTGTGAAGAGGCATCACGCAGAAGTTGCAGATGTACGCAGTCCTACTCTTCTTCTTGTGGACTGCGCACACATGGCACTGCCTAGAAGGGTACTTCTTCTTGCAATGTTCACTCTTCACAATTCTCACGAGGGTATGTTTCCGCATATCACCCGAGAGTCATCCAGGGGGGTCCACATGAGGCCTCCGGCGGGTGCGAACAGATGGCCCCGGCTGCACTACATCTGTGTCTGACGCAGGTACTGCCGCCACCGTGAGGTCAGTAGCCCAAGCTTTTGCCAAGTTCAACAGAAATGCTTTGTATTTCAAAGTAGAATTTCTGTTCACCTTTTTGAAAACCGAAAATGAATTGAAAAGTGCACAATTTATAAGCCACAGTGCAACTTTCTTCGTCCATTTTACTGTTTTACTAGGAAGGGAATAATAGGCCAAGTACTGGTCGGCCCTATCAGCTCCCTTCATGAACATATTATACTCGGAAATACAAAGAGGCTTCCAAGTACTGGTCGGCCCTATCAGCTCCCTTCATGAACATATTATACTCGGAAATACAAAGAGGCTTACTATAGGATTCTGACGATGGAGTATAACGCACTGATATGTTGGGTTTTTGGACTTTATCCATTGTCCTGGTGCG